ATTGTGGTTAATAGAAATAAAAATGTTGTACCTATATGCAATTCTTGAGAAATTGGATAACAAAAGTGAAGAATACAAGAGGAAGCAACTCTACATACATATCAAGAAAAAAAAAGCTATAGAACATAATAGAGAAATTGGTGAACAAGTGGTGCAACTTGCTTTTGAACATTATAACAAAAAAGAAATATTGGAAGGTTTTTATAACATTAAAAATGTAGATGATCAATATCCATATTGCAAAGGATTCCATTAGATAGACGAATAAATCTTGCTATTAACAAAATTAAACTTACAATTTGATACATGTAGTCTTTATAGAAAGGTTGAATTTTTGCTTCTTGAAGATCTCCTATTGTTAAGTAGATAACTTCTTGATAGACAAGATGAAAAGAACAAAGAATTTTAGAAGATTATTTCACAATATAATGGAATACACACATTTACATTGCTTGGTGTAAAAGTTGGCAATACTCTCTTGTAAGGATATATTCCATAAGGTCTTGTATACTTAGAAAGCTTTAGCATCAAATTGGTGTTCTTTTACCTAAATTTGGTATAAAAGTAAGTTATATGCAGCTTTACATTTATGATCCCAACATTACACATTAAACAATGATGGTATGTAATGCCAATTTGTCAATCTAGACAATGTAGGAGCTTCAAAAATGTTTAAAAAAATATTACATGTTTTTCATACTTTGTCAACAAGCTCATAAAATATTGTCTAAAATAAGGAAAAGAGAAGAGAATAGTGATGATGTACATGTCCATTGTTATTTTAGTAAAGATATTCACAAAAGACATCATAATCTTTCAATTTCTAATGAGGTTGTTATTGTTGTTGTTCTTGGTAATGGAACAAAGGCAAAAATGATGAGAGATATAGCTCTTTGATGGAGAAGAAGTCCATTGTGATTAATCCATGAAAGATATCCTATATACTTGTCATTCTATTATGTTTTTCATTTTTCACATGAAGAATGTGGATAGCATGTCCAAATGAAATATAATGATATATATGCCAATGAAGATGGGAATAGAAATACATAAATTATATGTACTATTAAAAAAAAGGTTCATTTATACTAACTATTTTAAAAATATAACAAGTACTTAATCATCTTACAATGTAGAAATTGCTATAAGAATTTATAGTAGGTGCTTGAGCATGAATTAAGATAAGTTATGTACAAATATATATTCCATTACGAATGGAATAAAATTCATTGAGATACTTGAGCATGAATTAAGATAAGTTATGTACAAATATATATCAAGGATTAGCAAATATTTTTGGAGATGTGAAAAACTATGAAGTTGATATGCAAAATCTAGAAGGGAAGATAATTCTTCTATCATTTCATTCTAGAAGTGAAAGAAACCTATTTAAAATATTTCAAGATTTTATGGCCATTATTTAACACTTTCAACATTGAGATATATATGAAATAATGATTGCAAATACTTGGTAGCCAGAGATTTCAAATGCGTTCTTTTTAGGGGAAAGACTCAAAGATTATTTTAATTTGGTAGTAAGAATATTTAAATTCAAGTATTGTACATTGATTGAAGATGTTTTTAAGTGTTATTTTTTGAAGTCATGTGCTAATAAAAATACATATTATTAAGTTTCAAAAGTAAGGTCTTTTGCACATATGCTTCTTGGTTTTTGTTTTATTTTATTTTACTTTATTATTAATTATTTATTATTATTTATAAAATAATAAAATAATAAAATAATAAAAGATCCAATCAATATTGGTAGAATTATTTGTACATAGTTTCTTATTTAAGAAGACAATCTGTTGTTATTTGAGACAATTAACACTTATAAGGTTTATGGTCCATATAAACCTCAAAATATACAAGTTTTATGTATAATGGATAGAATATGTGAAAAGATATATTTAAAAGAATATTAATATATATATATATAATTAATAAATAATGATGGCTATTTTTAATATTATAGAAATAACAATAAATGAGTTTTCAATATTACCAATTATTTTGTAGACAATTGAAATATTTTAGACAGTCTTGCTCTTAATAAAATGTATAATTATCATTTCAATATTGAAGATTGTGCTTCAATTTATATTTTGTAATATATTTATAAATATATTTTTATAAGATATGATTGTATAATAATACACATTAGAAATGAAGAGGATGAAATATTGATATTCTTTAAAAGCAAGATATTGATGCTCAATATATCAAAGCTTTATAGACATCATGATATTTTTTTAAAATGAAAATACATGAAGAAAGTCTAAATGTGGTTAAATTAGCATTGCATCTTCTTGAAATGCATCAAGTAGTTTTTTATCCAAATGATGATATATTTGAAGTCTTAGCTTGTAGATAGTAAGACAACTTAAATTTACAATTGTAAGATTATATTTTGTTGTTCCTACTATAGAAGAAAGATTCTATCTTTAATTTTTTTTTATAGTGGTATGTGAGTTACATTCATTTAAAGATTTGTGGACTATAAATGGAGTGATCCATCTAGCTTTCAAGAATGTATGCTTAGAAATGGGACTCTTAAAGAATGATAAAGAATAGAATCAATACTTGAAAAAAGATTCTATAATGAAAACAAGAAAGTAATTAAAAACATTGTTTGTTGTTATTCTTCTTCAATATATATATATATATATATATACATATCTAGAAGAGATATATGACAAGTTTAAAGAAAGTTTTTATAATGATGTAGATTATTGATTGACTTAAGATTATAGAATTGAGAGACCAAAAAAAAGAAAGTTATTAAATTATGGACTATTTCTTCTTAATAATATCCTTTAAGAATCAAAGAAGATACTTGTTGATTTTTTTACCAATATTGCAATAGAAAAGGAATTAGAATGAAGTTGCTACAAATTAAATGCTTATAATATATATATATATATATATATATATATATAAAAAGAGATTATTACAACCTAAAAGGAATAGTAAAAAAATATGTACCAAAATTGAATGATGAGTAGTGTACCATATATTTGAATATCCTTGCCTTGGATATATTTTAGAAAGTAATATTTTTTAGAAGGACAAGTAGAAAGTATGAAAATATTTGTTTATTCTAGAACAATTATGAAGCTCCAAAGTAATAAAAATATTTTTTTATATGTTGCTTCCTTTAAAATTGCAGGACAACTTTTATGTGATGGACAATTTGTATACTATATATTTAAATTTTTACTCAATCTCCATAAAGATTTGTTTTTGATATTGTAAAATAATCCTTTTATACAAATATGTTAAAAAAATTATTCTTATTATTTAAGATGAAGTACCAATGCAACATTACCATTATATTGAGGCAATTAATAGATTTTTTTATAACATAAATAACATTGATAAGATATTTGGCAAAATTATTATTGTCTTTGGTAGATATTTATAGTAGATTCTTCTTAATGTCATGAAAGGCTAAAGAGAGGAGATTGTTGTTGATTCTTTGCAACAATCAAAGGCTTGATTTCATATGAAAGTGTACAAGTTGACCAAAAATATGCATTTGAAAGATGAATCTAATTATAATTAATTATTTATCAAAGATCTCTTACAGATGTACATTATAAATTCATGTTACTTTTAAGAGCTTTTTGAAAGTAGAGCTAAAGATAATAATAATTGAATCTCTTTGCATGAAGATAAGTCCTAGTAATTGTAATAAAAACTATTATTTTAGTTAGTCCAATGCATTGAAATATTTGAATGGTTAAAGAATTATTGAGGAGATAGATAATTGTATAGAAAATTAAAAAATTAGAAAGTAATATGAAATTTTTGAATTGATTGATAAGATGGTTTTTGTAAGTGAAAAGAGTATCAAAGATAAATTAATGTTCTCTATTTTAGTGTAGCATTGATTGTACTAGTTTTTATAAGGATTGATACAATGTTTACAATTTATATACATAAGTAAAATTCTAATTTGTACATTAGAAATGGATCAACATTTGTAGATCCACTAAGAAACATACTAATTTTTTTAAATATATATGAAAGTAGATCTAACATCAAAGGCTTTTAATTAAAGTATCTATTTAGAATTAGATCAAGATAAGATACTTAGAAATAAATATTTTAGTATAGGTCAAATTTATTTGCATAAAATAATGATGTTAATGATTTAAAAATGCATACTATAGAAAGATTTTTTGAAGCTTCACATATTTATTTTAGTATAAATATGATAGTTATGGATGATTATATGTTCACTTTCACTAAGCACTTCTTTAAGAATGATCAAGATGCTTTATCTTAAAAATAATACAAATATAAACACCACTATAGATATAATTTATTTCAATTTTTCTTTAACTTAGGTTTTTAAGTTGTAGTAAATAAAAATTGCATTTGCCAAAAATATCAAAGAAACATAAATAGTTCTATTCTTATGTGTGTATTTACTTTTTCATTTGATAATTTATTTTTGATGGATATCTCTTTAGAAGTGGTTACTTTTTGACTTAGCAACCACAAATTAAAATTGTATAGTTTTTAGGTAAAGTTTACATGGGTTTTTGCTAGTAGATAAAGATTACACTAATATATAACCAAAGACTACTTATTTTCATTTTTTACTTTATTTTAATTTAATTTTAGAATTTATTTTTATATTTTAAAAAATAAAAATAAAATTCCATCTCTAGATTAAAAAGATTAAAAATAAAATCAAAGTGTTATACAAAAATTAGTTTAATGTAAATAATCAAAAAAATAGATGTTTTTATTCTTTAGGAAATTCATATTCAAGAAAATCTATGGGCACCACCATATAGAGCCAGTGACAATCATTGAATTTCTTGTTCCAACATTTACCAAAGTTGTTTTAATATTTGGTTCGAGTTGTTTGGAGACACCCCTAGCATGATGAAATTCCTGAAGCGTATTAAGAACACGCACAAGCAGTGGAGACAAGATTCCAAGCGAAATGGACGTGAAAAGAATGGTGGGTGTGGAGAATCCCGCCAATGTGCTTTCTTTTCATGTCTCCTGCTGATGGATCTCACTCAATCAAACTCAACGTGCCCAAGCCTGAAAGCAAAGCAACCCCCAAGCCCAAGCCCACGCCTGAAAGCAAAGCAAACCCCAAGCCCAAGCCCACGCCTGAAAGCAAAGCAAACCCCAAGCCCAAGCCTGAAAGCAAAGCAAACCCCAAGCCCAAGCCTGAAAGCAAAGCAAACCCCAAGCCCAAGCCTGAAAGCAAAGCAAACCCCAAGCCTGAAAGCAAAGCAAACCCCAAGCCTGAAAGCAAAGCAAACCCCAAGCCTGAAAGCAAAGCAAATCCCAAGCCTGAAAGCAAAGCAAACCCCAAGCCCAAGCCTGAAAGCAAAGCAAACCCCAAGCCCAAGCCTGAAAGCAAAGCAAACCCCAAGCCCAAGCCTGAAAGCAAAGCAAACCCCAAGCCCAAGCCTGAAAGCAAAGCAACCCCCAAGCCCAAGCCCAAGCCTGAAAGCAAAGCAACCCCCAAGCCCAAGCCGAAGCCTGAAAGCAAAGCAACCCCCAAGCCCAAGCCCAAGCCTGAAAGCAAAGCAACCCCCAAGCCCAAGCCAAAGCCTGAAAGCAAAGCAACCCCCAAGCCCAAGCCCAAGCCTGAAAGCAAAGCAACCCCCAAGCCCAAGCCCAAGCCTGAAAGCAAAGCAAACCCCAAGCCCAAGCCCAAGCCTGGAGCGATTTCCAATGCGGGGAGCAGGAGATCCCCTCCTCCTCCATCCTCCACGATTCTTCGTTCGCTCGTTCGACTGGAATTCAAATGTTTCATCCACGGGCGGAACCGGGTCCTTGCGACCCAGCCCGCGATACATCCCCAACGGTCAGAACTCCCGCCTTTGTGGCATCGTCGCGATCTAAGCTCTCCACAACTCTCAGATCCGGCTCTCCTCCTCACAATCCCTCCCTCGCTCTCTCCCTTCGCATTCCATGGTGGACTGTAGTAGTCGTGGCGGTAGTAGTTGGAGGCGCTGGAGCCCGCTTGCAGTGGAATTTGGTGTGCGCAATGTCTGTGCTAGAGCGCTCGGTAGGGTTGCGGAGAGTGATTTTGGAGTATCCTTTAGAACCCGTGAGCGTGTTTCGGTGAATTTGCCATCGTAGCTTACGCCTGATTTTACTGAGAGTAGTCATGACATGAATTATTCGTATTGTAGTAGGAACGCTGCCTTGAGAATTCAGAAGTTGGGAGGATATTGTAATGTAATCCGGTGCTCCACGCGTATTTTATGTGGAGCGACTTCTTTGCTCTAGGATAGTTTGGATTGTGTAGATTTGTGAAGACTAGGAATGAAGTTGCCGCGTTCAGGGACAGGTTAATTGTGGAGGTTTTCTAGTCTGACACGGAAGTTATACGAGGAATTTAAGCTCCTGAAGGTTCTGTCGTAACCTCGTAATTCTTCTTCTCTTCGACAAAGGTCTTTTGCGTTGACCTGCAGTCGGTCGCGCTTAGGGGGTTCAAATTTCCATGTATCATGCGAAATTTGCGGTGGTGAATTGGAATTTTTGGACCGTGCGGTGGGAAGCTGCAATGTGGTGGCTCTGCTTGCAACCCAGAGCCTGAACCTCTTCATTCTGATGGCCACTCGGACATGTTGTACTACGAACTCAAAAATGCATGTCAGTGTTAAATGAGGCCACGGCGGAACTGACGCACAGTGAGACTGGTCAGTGCGAAGGTAGGTAGGATGGTTGGCCCGGAAAGCGCCATGGCGAGATGTGACCCGAGCCTCGAGAAAGAGAATCTTGTTCCCCGGATTCACAAGCCTGAACCCGGATCAGGTGGAGTAGTCCTCACTCGAACCAGGGGATTAACAACTTGCGAACATAAATCCCATACCGCCTTGAAAGAGTCGTCTTTAAACAACCAGGTATCGGTGCTGTGCTCAACCTTGGAATATACGTTGCTTTCAAGGGGTTTTGTCATACATTCTGTGTTCCAGAATGTACGATGATCTGTGGTAAGGAGGATTGGAGAAGTTCTAGTAAGAGCATGTTGGACGTTCATCTCAATGTGCACACTCACTGTGATCATTATTACTGTTAAACTGAGAACAAGGAATATCGCATGAAGAGTGGCGATTCTCACTCACTTCTGCCCATCCAGCCTTTCTGTCAGTAATGTTCATTTCTGTATCCTTTCAGACCCCCGTAGCCGCGACCTTGTGCAAAGTAAAATTTGGATCTACCGAGAAGGGTGGACTGAAGAACTTCGCTGATGATTGTTATGGTGGAAAGCAATCTGGTAGGTCCCTCGAACAACTGAGGGAAAAATTAGGGCAATTGAAGAACGTTGGCGCTCAGAAGCAGACAACTCACAAAACTGTGTCGACACCGGAACATCATTCCGGCGAATTGCACTTTCGCGGTTATACACCAAATGCTTTCGAATCATCTGTTCATGTGTACAAGGATGAGGAAGTCTCAAATTCTGGAGTCACTCCAAAGGAGGTTTTGAATGCAGCAAGTCAAGGACGTAAGCGCGAGAAGAACATAAGCAGTGTATTAACGCCTGCCCTAGGGCATGTGGAGAGTTTAGCAGAGGATAACTACGATGCATGTGGTAAACAGGTTTCTCCTTCAACGCCGTTAATGTCTTCAATGGTGGAAGGTAATGGTGCCCCAGTAGACCAGTCTATGTAATCGTTCTCCTGCATTTGCAACAGTGCTCCGTGAGTCAAGAAACTAGTGTTTTCCGATTATATTGGCAGGGTAAGTGAGTACTGAGTTGTTTTTGATACATGATTTCGAGTGTAAAGAATGTGTTTTGGTTACGTTTCTCATAGTACTTCGAAGTTAACGCATGGCAAGAGCGCTTTCTTAGGGGTTTGTGAATCTAAGGGAGCATCTGCTGTTTGTTGCATTACCAATTTAGTTATCTAAAACTTCTGGAAAGTTTTTGACAGGTCGCCTTGTTCACACCAAGTCAGATAGCGGAGGGGTTATCACTGCTGACAAGGAATCTGCCATTAGCTCTCTAGCTGGAAACGAGGGGAAATGTGCTGCGGACCATAACTCGCAGAGAAAAACTTCTGTTGCTGGTGAAACTGTACGGAATGCCAGCCCTCGAGAGGAAGAAGCGGAGATCAATCACGATGGTTCTGTAGAGCGCCGAAGTGCCTTTGCAAATAAAATATTTAAGCGTGTAAAAGGCTCTAGTTACGGTAAACACTATTCTCTTGTAGGGGCGACTCACGAATGCGTGGTCCTCCTGTTGATCATTGCCTCTGCTTGTCTCTTCTGCGTCGTTTTTTGCTCCTAAGTGCTTTATTTTGACCTCAGCTTGCTTGTTGTGTAACTGCAGGTCCAGCATTGAGGGTACGCAGGGATGATCCAAGGGCTTATTCTAAAGATGACCACAGTCCTGGCTCTGAGAAATCAGCGGATAATGTTGAGATGAGCAGTCCAAAGGTGCCGCATGGATCGACAAAGACGGATCATCACAGCAATACACAACCAAGTGCACCTGCTTCATCGGCGGCTGGAACTGTTTCATCCAATAAAAGCAATACAGGGTCAAACCATAATGTAGCACTACCAACGGACGAAGACTATTTAAATGAGAACCGGAAGCGAAAAGCTGATGCTGATCCCTCTGTTATCGATTCCTCTCTAGTTCTCACCGGAGTGGCCACTGATCAACATTCGTCCGTGGTCAACGCCTTGGAAGATTACGAAAGTGTGATGAAAGGGGGTAAGACAGTCGAGCGAGAACGTGGACGGGGGAGGGGATTGACAGTGAGAGAGACGGGAGCAGAGTTCGATGCATCGGAGCAACTTGGCGAGAAGTGGTCTCAGGATGCCGCCGGGCATCCTCCTGTAGTTTCCTGCGCGAAAGCCACTACTGGTCATGACAGAGAGCCTTGGGCTTGGAAATCATCAAGGGATTTACGATCGGTGGCCCTCACATCACCTAATTCTTCTGAGCAGTTAAAGTCGGCAAAAATTATTGGAGGCCTTCCACCTCGCTGTACTCCCTCGGTAAGGGTCCACTTGCTTATTTGTAAATGAACTCCCAAGAGCAGACAATTGAATGGTCTAGTTTCTCATGGTTAATTCTTAAATCAAGTGGTATTTCCACATGATCAGTTCTGTTAACCTTCACTTGTAACTGTAGTGTTTGCGGGCCTGTGAAAATTCATTATGAGAATGAGGATTTCAAACCATTGCTTCATACACCTCTATTAGTTTATTGAATTTATTGAAAATTTTAGCGTGTGACTTTCTATCTTGTGGTTCTCAAAACACTGATGGATGTCTTCTCCAGAGTTTAGGATCGCGGGACGGAAAAATAGAAGCGAATGGTTCCCCTCTATCGAATGGTCCCAAATACCAATCTGCTGTTCTAAAGCAGGTGAACGAAGCAGTCAAAAGTGAGTTAATTAATGGACTCGTTCCTCCCTCAACCAATCATGTGAAAAGCGTTGCTTCTACCGATGACCATGTAGTTAACCATCTGTCCAACTCTTTCAGTTCCATCAGTATAGGTGAAAGGAATGCTTCTGGGTCGATTTGGAAAACTTCAACACATGCCAGAACTCCAACTCCCTCTTCTGGACACCAGATGAACTCCGTCCCTCCTGAAAGTACATCACTTACTGGAGTTAGTGGTATGACTGGGTTAACTGGATTGACATCTCAAAGTGAAGTCTCGCACAAGACTGCTGTGACGTCTTCTCATGGAGTTGAATCGCAACATAGACCTCACAGTGAACCACATGCCAAGGAGGGGGATCGCGGAACTGAGATGTCCGATCGTAAGGAGCTGTCAAAGGCAACCTCTAGATCTACAGGAACCTCTCCTGAGGTTCTGGCAAGTGATATCCTTGAAGCGCACTCATCTAAAGCTTGCGACACCCTCAAAGAAAACAAAGAAAAAAATCAGGATAATCCGCCTCACAACCAACATCCACAAAGAAAGATGCGGACGGAAACTGAGAACGAGAACTTTGTCTACGTCAACGGAACCCGGTACCAAAAATTAGGAAAAATTGGAAAAGGTGGTAGCAGTGAGGTCTTCAAAGTTATTGCTACCAATTGTTCCATATATGCTCTCAAGCGTATCAACTTGAAAGGTCGAGACTGGTCAACTGCACAAGAATTTTATCAAGAAATCAAGTACCTGAAGGCTTTACGTGGGAAACGACATATTATCCAGCTCATTGACTCTGAGGTAATTTAAGATGTAATCACACATCCATGCCGTTCTTGTGCTGATTTTATTCATACTTTCTCCCTGCTAAATCCCACTGGGGGCTAGACATGGCTTTTGGAATCTCACAGCTCGTATTCGGGTTGACCTGCAACGGAGTTCCCTGGTGCAGGTCACTAACAAGAAGGTTTTGGAGAAAAGATGGGAAGGCCGAGAGATCACAGAAGAAGCTTTTATCTATATGGTACTGGAGTACGGGGAGATAGATTTGGCTGGCATGCTTGCCTCTAAGCGTAAGGAAATGCAAATGATGAATGAATCCAAGCTTGACGAGAATTGGCTTCGCTTCTACTGGCAGGTATATTTCTCTTACTTCTTTTGAATGCATTGTTGGGCCATATCCTTAAATGGACTAGAAATTTTCGGATGTTACTCAGATGTATGTTAAAGTACTTCAAAATTAGATATCACTTCTAATGGTGAGAATTCGTCATTTTTTGCTGTTAAAAAGAATTTATCGCCGAAATCCCACTGCCTTCCTGAATCATTTTGCTTTGCATCATTAGATGACAGCTTGATACCATTGATTAAACAGATATATAATTTTTGGCTATTTATTGGAATGACAGCAAATGTTGGAGGCCGTGAGAACTATTCATGATGAGCGTATAGTCCACTCTGACTTGAAACCTGCCAATTTTATGCTAGTAAGAGGGGAATTGAAGCTCATCGATTTCGGCATTGCAAAAGCTATTCAAAACGACACCACCAACATCGTGCGGGATTCTCAGGTATGCTCTGTGTTATGCATACAGTAACATCAACGACAAGGTGCCTGCTAAATTACCGTCCCAGTTATGATAGTTGACACTTTGTTTATCTGATGTCTGCTCGATATTATGGTGCTTATTGTGAGTTGGATTATTAGGTGTACTAGGATTTGTTGGATTATCATCGTGCTAATGCAAGCTCATCGTTTGTGCAGGCCGGCACATTAAATTACATGTCTCCAGAAGCATGTCTACAGAATCAAACGGATGAAGAAGGATTAGAAATCAAGCAAGGTCGAGCATCAGATATTTGGTCCTTAGGGTGCATCCTATATCAGATGGTTTACGGGCATACCCCATTTGCCGAGCTTTCCTTCTACTCCAAAATTCAAGCCATCACGAATCCACACCACAAAATCAATTATCCAGCTGTGACAAGTCCTTGGTTGCTGGATATCATGAAAAAGTGCTTAACCTGGGATCGCAGAAAACGATTACGTATCCCAGAGCTTCTCGAGCACCCATTTTTACAGCCACATTTATCTCCATTTTGCGCTAGATGTGAGCAGTTATCCGCAAGAATGACTAGCTCAGAGAGGAAACAACTTGTTGATCAATTTCTCTCAAGTTATGAGAATTGGGGACAAAGATACGCATCCCGTAATTCTGCACCGTGTGGTCAGGGATCTCCTACTTAGAGACCCACTCCTGAATTAGGTAGGCGTAAGCAAAGACCAGCATTTTCAGTCCATACTGATTAGTTGTGGGGCCATAAGGCACGCTGGAGCAAAGGGCATCTCTGCTTATAGAATGATACAACTCTGCAGGTGACATCGAGGTCCCTGAGAATACCAGAAACGAAGAGATCGAGATAGTGGTTTTCGAGACAGGAAACAATTATTACACCAGATCTGCCGCCGTCAGATCAGAGAGTGCTGCCGCATTTCTGAAGATCAAGTTTAAGGTACAGTACTAGGCCCTTCTTAATGCTGATGTTCACCACTCCATTTTTAGATCTAGAACATACACCAGGAATGACCCTCAATGTTCCTCCCCTCTCTCACTTGTCGCATTAGATCATGCGAGCATCATGTGCTTTTTCTGGTTGATTTTAATTTCTTCTTTGCCCTACATCCCTACTGACGTACACACTATGTGTGCTGCGCAGATCACTGCGTGTTTTAGGATTTAAGCGAGACAACTTGCTAGTATCTCTTCTCTGATAAGATCTTGCATGAGTGATCGAAAAAAGTCGATAAGTACATAGTGTGCCTCAATTCTACTCCACTCCTCGTGGATCATCCGCTAACTCACTGCATCTTCCAGCAGACCATAGTACTGCGTTTGTAATTGAGTTGTTAGTGCCATCCACCTCGTATGTGGATGTAGCTGCCATTTACAGAGTACTGGTTTGATGTTCATATCTGTGCGACGTTTGGAACTATTGTTCCTCTTGATAGTTCACACTAGGCTTGATAAATTTGTGTTCATGGAAAATTTCACGACTGCTTGTGAGGTTGACAGGTTCTGTAAACGTAGACTTTAAATATCGGAATCAACCGGAGCAAAGGGTTAAGTGGCACCTCTACAGCCAATTCTTCATGAGCTCCAACGCAATTCCGGATGTTCTCTGAGAAACTAAGGACCAGCCTGAGAAATTATTTTCTTCTATGTTGAGTCATGTCAACCTCATGTAATGCAAATGGCTTGAGTATGGTATGAAAATATTGCGGCTCACTAACTTCTCACACATCCATTTGAATGATGATCCACGCAAACTCGAAGTTGTCACGACTGCGGAACCAAGAAGATGGTCAAATCTTCTTGGTTCTGCAGCAGCACTCTACCAACATCTCGCGCACCCCTGCTGCAACTTGGAAAGATGATATGGTATGAAACAATGTGCTGCCTGCCTCGTCAATTTCTATGCGCCTCATGAACCTTAATACTCCCTCGCCCTGAAGCATTTGTAGAAATTATCTCTGTGAAGAGATTTCCTTCATGTAATGTGAATGTGAAGGATGAACCTCACGTTGTTAATAGCTTAATCATCACAAGATTATGCTACCGTCAATCGCCGGATGTGTTCACGACACTGATGATAACTGATCTCACCATAAAGAAGATGCGAACTGAACCCCCACTGTTCAGATTGTTGGTTGTCGACAACTTCATGATTTTCATGAGGATCATGAAAAGATAAATTCAAATCGATAATTTGAGAGTCATTTTGCTTCGAACGCACTGATCACTCTGATATGACAGATTGTAGCTCTTTCCTTACTAGCGAAATGATCCTGCGTGAGATGAAGGACAGAAATTGTTTGTAAACTAACGTTTCGATGCTTCACGAGTGGCAGCTTCTAAGATTCAAATTCTTTCGTGTATTCAACTTGGTTGGCCCTTCTTTTTGTGCATGATTAGGGGTGTCATAGCAAGAGTAAAATTAACAGAATAAAGTTAAAAATTCAATTATATAGAAATAGAGGGATTTTTTTTAGAAGAATAATAGGAAGATAGGAAGAACTCAACCTTAGAATAATACTCATTAAGAGAACAATGATGGATTTCAAGGTTATGGATTCCATCTAAAGTTGCCTTCTAAACTTGTTTTTTTCTATTTTTATAATAAAAGTTAATTAACTAAAAGGTTTCTAATTTTTTTTATATATAAAATAATTTAAGAATCTTATAATCAATTGATATATTAAAAGTGTCAATATAATAATTATTATGTTTGATCATAACATTATGGTTTCTCTAATTATTTTGATAAGAAATTATTATAATGACTTTTATTTCTAAAAGCATATATTGATTAAAATTAATAATTTTTTGCTTTATTTTTTCTTTTCATTACGTACATCTTAAGAAATCTATTTTTTGAGCTTAAATTTTGAGGTCAAATTTCTTAAAATTAAATTTCCATTTCATTAATGATTGTTGATAATATATCTCTCTTTTAATATTAATTTTAATTACTTGAGAGTTGAATAATGTAATTCTTCTATAGATGGTGCAAATTGATTTTAATACGTATTAAATAGTAGTTAATTATTAGAAGTAGATTTACAAAAATCAATTATTTCTAAAAAAAGATATATTATTGGTAGATATAGAAAAAATACATATATTCTTCTAATGTATTGAAGTTGTTCAAGTGACATTATTTTGAGTTTATAAAAACATAGTGGAATTAATCATGGTAATCTTATTATTACAAATTATAAGGTAATAAATCTTCACTACTAAGTGTCAAGGACAAAGACTCGATGAGGAAAAATATACACCAAAAGGCTATCTCGATATAATAAGTCAAAATATAAACAAGTAGGTATATTAAAAGGAAACTGGAATGGCTATTGCCACAAGACAAGAAACTAAAGACTCTTGAACCTGGACTAGAAGCAAGAAAGGAGTTGACAAGAGTGAAGAAGCCTTCACTCTTGTCTCTATATATACTATCTAACTAGGGGCTACGTGGCGACGTTCTATAGGACCTCCAATATGTGTTGACTTTGTAGGACACATGCCTTGACTTACAAGGCAAGTTTTTCTACGTGTGGGCCACATAGTTAGCTTGATCTTTAAGCTAACAACATGTGTGGCACATGGCCAACTTGTTGACCACGTTTCTAATCCAAAAAGTCAATTAAAGACACCTATGAAGTCAAAGCAGCGTCTAGGAAGTTTCTAGGAAGCTTTTATATTAAATATTATATAATTAACTTACTTTTATCTACTTTTACTTACTTCTACCTATTTCTATATGTAATTATTAGCTTACATGATTATGGCCGTGACATTACCCCCCCTTCTAGAGACGAGTTCCACGAGGAGCGGTCATCATATGTTGAGGAAATCTACGATGCGACGAATTGTATTCGCCACATACTCTGATCTCTGTTCTCTTCGAAGATGATTAATAGGGCCTCTCAACCATCGGTAGTGTCCCATACCAGGGCGGGAAGACCACCCAGTTATTTGATCATTATTGAGGCCTTCATAACTTCCTTCGAATAGAATATTCGGAACACCATCAGGAGTTGTTCCTACCTCTAGCAAAATCACCAAACATCGGGAGTCCCTTCCCAAATCATGATACCAAACGCGTTGTATCTCACCATCTGTTCGAGGAAGAACATGTCGTTCTTGAAGTTCTTCATCTCGATTGCGTCGTCTTGAAGGTTGTGACAATCGTAATGTCTCGTTCGGCAGGTCAGCAAACGAAGGTTCTTGAGTTGAATCCACTGGTTGTTGGCTCTCCATCTAATTAGCATCACAAATGTAAAGAAGTTACAAACAAGGATAGGAAATTGAATGTTATCTTGCCTCAATCTTGTCTCTTTTATAAGAGAGATTTTCATCTTGGTTTTGATGGATGTCGTTGATGAAAAACTTTGACTTTAGCTGATGCATTTGCTAGATTCTTGGATGGCTCCCATGTGCGTTCACTAATATCATATCCGCGCCAATGAACAAGATATTCCAGCTTATTTCGGCGCCGCCTTGAGTCTAATATCTCTTCCACCTCAAATTCTTCATTATTATCTACTTCTATAGGAGGCGGTGGCATTTGTCTTCTTCCTTGTATATCCACTGTCTTATATGGTTCAAGAAAAGATACGTGGAATACAGGATGGATCTTCATTGACTCTGGTAGATGTAACCGATATGCAACTGGGTTGATCTGTTCAGAAACAGAAAAGGGGCCAAGCCTACGATAGTCCAACTTGTCACAAGGTCGAGTAGTCTTGATATTGCGACGAAGTAGCCATACCTTATCACCGACGTTGATCTGTGGTTGCTCCTTACGATATAGATCTGCGTTTATCTTTTGTCGTTCTTGAGCTTCCTTCAATTGTGTCTTCATTATTGCATGTAACTCTGACAACCGATTTGCCATATCTTCTGCTGCAGGATTATCAACTTTTGAAAAATCAAAAGTATCAAGTCGTGGATGATAGCCATAATTGGCAAAGAAAGGTGTTTGTTGCGTGGAAGAATGTACCGTATTATTATAAGCAAACTCTGCCAATGGCAGAAGGGTTGTCCAATCATCTTGTTGGTAGTTGATAGTACACCTTAAATATTGCTCCAAGACTTGGTTTACGCGCTCTGTTTGTCCATCAGTTTGAGGATGAAAAGCCGAAGATAGTTTTATGTCCACTTTTAAAATCTTGAAAAGGGTCCTCCAAAATCTTGACACAAATTGAGTTCCCCTATCCGATATGATATCTTTAGGTAATCCATGATAGCGATAGATATTATCAATGAAAAGCTTAGCTGTTTCTTCACCTGTGATAGATTTTGTACATGGCACAAAATGTGCCATCTTGGTGAAACGATCTACTATCACAAATATAGAATCATAAGATCTTGAGCTTGGAAGATCTGTGATGAAATCCATAGAAACAGAAGACCATGGTTGTTCTGGTATAGGTAATGGCTGAAGAAGTCCGTAAGGTCGATGACGAGGAATTTTTGATCTTGAACAAATATCACATGATTGTACAAAGTCTTTGACTGACTTCCACATTTGTGGCCACCAAAAATCTCTTGATATGAGTTCCAAAGTCTTATTATATCCAAAGTGCCCTGCTGCTGGAAAGTCATGACGTGCTTGAAGAACACGTAAACGTGCTTCTCCTTTGGACTGGATTTGCTTGAGAAAAGTTGAATCAACAGTCAATGTTGATTTCATTGCTCGGAGATGAAATTGCTCCGGTTTCAAGAGGACCGTTCTTTGTTGCTCAAAAGCTGCATCTCCTTCTTTTGGTGCAAAATAAGAACGTCTAGATAGGGCATCAGACAAACCTTGTTGTTTTCCTGGCCGATAAGTGATAATGAACTCGAATCTTGACAAAGACATACTCCAACGAGCTTGACGACGATTCAACACGCGTGTTGACATGAAATACTCGAGGTTCTTGTGATCTGTATATACAGTGACTGGACTAGAAGCGCCTTCTAGATAATGACGCCATTCTTGAAAGGAATCCACGATCGCAAGAAGTTCTTTATCGTGGATCTCATAATTGATCTCGGCTGCTGAGAATTTTCTTGAATGAAAAGCTATCGGATGGAGTTTGTCATCTGTTCCCATTTGTGATAAAACTGCACCCAAGGCAAAATCTGATGCATCTGTTTCCATAAAAAATGCCTTGGAAAAGTCAACACGATATAAGACTGGTGCAGAGACAAACGATGTCTTCAAGGCTTCAAATGCTGCTTCCGCTTCTTGATTCCATTAAAATTTATCTTTACTAGTCAAGCGTGTAAGTGGAGCTGCAACTCGTGAGAAATCTTTGATGAAGATCCGATAGTAACTGGCAAATCCCAAGAAACATTGAACATCTCTTACTGTCCTTGGAATCTTCCAATCCACGATTGTTTGGACTTTCTTAGAATCCATCATGAGACCATCATTTGAAATGATGTATCCTAAAAAGTCAACTTGAGTAGTGTGAAATACACACTTTTCCATCTTGGCGTACAATCCTGCATCTCTAAGTTTTTGTAATACTTGACGAACATGTATTTCATGTTCTTCGACGTTCTTGGAATAGATCAGGATATCGTCTAGATAGCAGACGACAAAATTGTCTAAGAATTCACGAAATACATCATTCATGAGATGTTGAAAAGCAGCTGGTGCATTCGTGAGTCCA